TACTTCCAACGGTTGTCATGGGGTTCTGTTACATCTGTATCATCAAGACCCTTATCCAAGCCAAGAACTTTGAGAGGAATAAAGCCTTCAAGGTCATCATTGCAGTGGTATCTGTCTTTGTGTTCAGTCAACTACCCTACAATGTAGTCATGGGAGTGACCACTCAGGACACAACGGATTGCAACAAGGACAAGATTCGTCTTTACGCTTTGGATGTGACCAGAGCCGTGGCCTTCTTGCGCTGCTGCATAAACCCCTTCCTGTATGCCTTCATTGGGGTAAAGTTTCGCAATGATCTCCTGAAGCTACTGAAAGACTTGGGATGTATCAGAAAGAGCCACCTCATGTACACCCACTGCGGTAAACGAAGATCCTCTGTTGGCCTGGATACGGAAACCACAACAACGTTTTCCCCCTGAACGCTCCTATCTGTTGAGGAACAGATTCCAAAACAACAAAAATGTCTTGCCAATTTACTTCTGTTACATAGTGGTAAATCGCTTCATAGCTCCATTCAGAGCAAACTGCCTGTGGAGGACTGTATGGTGACATATACTGACATACTACAATTTCTGCTATGCAGTGTTACTAGTGACTTACTGTACAAAAACTTCCTGCTTTGTAACAATAAGCTTTTCACTTCTTGTTTTTCATTGCTCTAGGAGAGAAGAAATGTCATTTACTCTTTGTTATATGATATAACCATTTTGTGTTCAATATCTTGTTCTCAATACCAATATGTCTATACTGTATATTATACATGCTTTCAAAAATGAGATATCTTTAAGGCTAACTATCCACCAATATGTGGAAAATCAGTTAGCAACATAATCCTCTTTCATGGTTGAAATTCTTTCAAATATTCATTTTCTTTACTCTGTCTGAGATGTTATAAAACTGAATAAATATACATTTTCTGAAATAACTGACTTGAGTTTTGTGTGTTAGAAACATCTGCACAACAAAATAGTTTCACCCTCTTCAGTCGTGTGCTTAGGTACAAAATATATGTAACATTCAAATAAAAACCGAGGCGAGCCAAATGAGAAATACATTTAGAAACTACAAACATAGAATATAAACATAGAACATTGTTCACTATGAACTATTCCATCCTTTGGTTTCTCACCCCCTTACTAGTTTGTGAAGAAGACATTTATGCTCAGTTGTCTGTGGTCACAGTTAGTACTATGTTATGTATGTGGTTATGGTGAGTCTATGTTACACTTAAAGTGCCCTACTTGCAGAAAAGCAATATACAGCTCAATTCAGTTCTCATTTATTCAGTTTTAGATACTGGCCAAAAAAAAGGTTTAAATTACATATGTAACCCACAAAAACACTTTACTAAAGAGCAAAGTTACTAAAGAACAAAAAAGGTACAAAGCTGTCACTGGGGCAGTACCTTAAGGTACAAAAGCTAAAAGGTACATCTTGTAACTTATTTACTCCTAAATGGTAGGTATTAGTACTTTAAAAGTACATATTAACGTGCAGGCCTAAAATTAGTACCTTTTGAAAGGGTACTGCCCCAGTAACAGCTTTGTACCTTTTTTTCTGAGATTATATTGAAAGAATATTGAGAGTTGTGTGCTCTGCTGGCACTCTTTAAGTTAAACAGTGTAAATGCCAGGGGTCAAGGTTATTTTCACAAATTTCAAGATATGATATTTTACATATGCACACTTTGTTTTTGGATAGTCATTAGTGAAGGGCTTAGGACTTCGCTCTAAAGAATCTGAACTGAATAACCATGAGCAAGGAGATCCAGGGAATCTCAAATTGAGAAAGTGCTATTGCTATTACACACCATCTTGGTTTAAAGGGGTCATATGATGCGATTTCAATTTTTCCTTTCTCTTTGGAGTGTTACAAGCTCTTGGTGCATAAAGAAGATCTGTAAAGTTGCAAAGACTAAAGTCTCAAATCCAAAGAGATATTCTTTATAAAAGTTAAGAGTTAACCACGCCTACCTAAAACGGCTCGTTCTAACACGCCCCCACATATCTACGTCATGATGTGGGAAGATTTGCATAACACCGCCCAAATGTTCACGCAAAGAAAGAAGGCGTAACTTTTATTCTCGCTGTAGTATTGTTGTTGCCGCCACCGCCATGTCGTGAAGGCGCTGTGTGCTTCGTTGTGAAAGCGAAACTACTTTGTCATTTCTCCGATCACAAATTCTGCATTTGCATGGTTTTATGTTTACGCCGCGCGATGCAACGCAACGCTTAAAAAGACAGTATAAGTCATTATAATCCATAATTATGTCCCCACTGGATGCAACGAATGCCTCATTTATAATGGGTTTTAATGTTTTTGAATCGTTGCTCGGGCCGAACAGGGCATCACAGAATGGTGAGGAGCGTAACATTTCCGTCACACGTTGGAGTACCAAATACACAAAATAATGTTCTTTTTAGCAGCATCATATGACCCCTTTAATAAGAAAGAAAGAAAGAAAGAAAGAAAGAAAGAAAGAAAGAAATTGTATATTTATCAATAGTTAATTTTACTAACTGTGTTTGTCTTGCTTTATTCTCATCTAATAAATGAATTGGCACCCAAACCTAATTTTTTTTTTGTTTGTTTTTGCACATCTAGTTAGGTGTTGGTGCCTTACTGCTTAACATTAGATTAATAATGCAAATATTGGTTGTGGCTTAGACCTTTTAACCTTTCACCTTTGAAATATTGATATTTGATATTTTAACTCCAGGTAACTTCAACAAGACTACACCTGCACTGGAACATTTTAAATATTGTATCTTTGTTCATGGGCACATGAGGCACTGTTTCTTAAGCAAAATTGTAAATGCTATGTAGATTTGCATGAACATTATGATAAGGCTGACATGACAGTGCATGCTGATTGGCTGATGGTACCACAAGAACCTTCACTAGTGACTATTCTGAGCTGTAACACTGAAACCATTAAACTAGGCACTGCAACAACAAAAAAGAGAGAGAGAGAGAGAGAGAGAGAGAGAGAAAGAATGAATGATTGAATGAATTAATAATTTACTAATTAATGAAACACAAGTTGTAGTAACTGTTTCTTAAAAAAAACATTTGAATTAAGCTATTATGATGTCATTATTATATCATTATGATTATGATATGATGCTGCAGTTCCTACACTTAGCCGCTAGAGCGCACTCTTGCATAAAATAATTTTGACACTGGCAACCATTTACCCCAATACTTTTGAGCACATTACGATACAGTTCTACACTTAAGCAGCAGTTGTATGGAGATCTAAGCCTATACGGTTGTCACTGCCCTTCTGCAAACAGCAACATTTGAGAGGAAAGGACAGCACAGGAAACAATCAAATGTGTTTGAGGTAGAGGAAGTGCAGCGAGGAACACGAGGGAATAATATAGGAAGGACACAGTCACCTTTAAATCTACAGTAGGAGCTTCTTGGGCCTGAAAGCAAAACTTGTAACAATGTAAAACCTAAGATTGATATTCTAAGCAATGTGAGAAATGTTTAAGATTTTTTGAATTTTAATGCCAGAAAAAAAATTTATGGACAAAAATTGTATTGGTTTATAAATAACTAAAGGTCATGCAAGAGGACAATACACTCATAGTGTCTCTCACAGCCTTTCTTTCACAGTCTTTGAGAACAGAATCAACACCTAGATCTCAGATGTTGTTTTATTAATAGACTGATATTACATTAGGTTTCCCTAGAGAGCTATTTGTGAACTGGCCAACCCTGTAATGATGACAAGTTACTAGTCCTTTGCTATGGAAACAGTCTACAGTTGGCTTGTTGTCTTGGTAACAAGGGCAGCAGTGAATTAAGTTCAGAGGCTTACAGCCAGAAAGTTTGTTCTAGTGTTGTAGCAGTTTGAGCAATAAAGATATGAACAAAGATCTCTTATAGCATTTGTGTGAGTTTAGAGAATAATGCATGTTGTTATTGTTAGTAGTGTTTTGTTTAGTGTATTTTTTCAGGTTGGGTATTACATATCATGGCCCTCTTAAGACACAAGGTTGTTGGGTTTTGTTCATCCCTCTTGTGAGAAAAAAGTGAGCTTAACTGTATTAAATGTGCACTTATAGTGTACTTCAAATCTCAGTATTTGTAATTGTACTTGATCAGGGTTGGAGCTAAACTCAGCAGCGCATTGGCCCTCCAGGGCGAGATTTGAGGAACCCTGATATATATATATATTATGTACGTCTGGCAAGACCTGACATTTGCCATTCCTCTCAGTCACGTGAGTGTAAACCACCGTAATTATAAGCTCTTGTGAGTCACCTGCCGGCTTCAAGTCTTGACGGGGAAACAACAGATAACTTGAAAATCAAGTCCTCTGAACACCTCTCGTGCTCATTTTGCCACGAACAAGAATCGTGCGAATGGATACGTGCCGCTGTGTAATCAAACTCCTGTCACGCAGTCAAACGCTCATGTGACGCTACGTCAGAGTCGTATTATAGGCTACATGTTCACAGAGCTGGAGGCGCTTTAGCTTGAGTAATGCTGTGAGGCTTGTTACAAGGTGCAACGTAAATTTAATGTGTTAATTAACAGTATATACTATATGCTGATATAAAAACTGCTCGTTAATGTTGTTAACCACACCTTTCAATGAACTTCGATAGTTTCTAAATTAATCATTATATAGAATTATATATATATATATATATATATATATATAATTTAAAAGTCTGTAGATCCTAAAATTTAAAAGTCAGTTTAAAATAAAATATTTTCTGACAATAACTAGGAAATAATATAGTCATTTTATTAAAAATGTAAGTTTGACAAGAAGCCAAGGTCAAACTCTCTGTTTTCTCCATCCCTTCCATTTACACGTCCAGACTCTGAACTCCACTTTATCTAATCGATTATCTCTTTAATGGCACCGACTGTCACAACTCCATAGATGGATCTTCAGGCGAACAGCTGCGGGACCGCGACCAGATTCGTCGGAAAGAGGCACGTGACGGCTCACGCAGCGCATGACTGTGACGTCAAATACCGGAGCCCGCTCGCGCCTCTAAAATGAAGTGACCTTTCTTTTTCGCCCTGTTGCAGGATCGGTCCGCCGACAGGCTCGAACAGAGTACCACATCCCACAAGACAAGGAGCTTCCTCACACGGTCTGAAAGGTAATATAATCAACCCGACCACGACGTGTTTTGTTCGCTGTGTTGGTGATCACAGATGTGTTATTTAAACGAAAAGGAGGATTTTGAAGCGGTCCTAAGGAAGGATGGCGTAAGGTTGCGTAAGTTAACCGGTACTCTTCAAGAACAGTTGTATGTGAAGGGAGGAATATATAGGGTTTAATATCAATCTCTGTGTTTTTGTAATTAGAACAGATTGAGCGGTAATAAACGTTCAGTAGTTCATGGGAAAGTATGCTTTGTGGGGAAACTAAGCAGATGTGGCTAGCTGTTCGCTTCCGCAACGTGGATCTGACGCCGGTTTACGACTTTTGCGGTGTTCTTCAGACATGTAAAGCTTATCTGAGAGTCTTTTGTTAAGTTAAATTGGGATTTTGTCACACAAACTCCGATCCGGCTTCTTATTAATGATAAGCTAGTTCTCACAGGCGGGTACCTAACGAGCTATACTTCAGTGATTAAGGCTTCTTTTAATGAAGGCGATTTAAGGTTATCATCGGATGAACATCTTAATTGCGAGATGTTTACAGATACGAGTTGACAGAGATTGGATGTCGAAGGAAACCTAAACCATCTACCTAGAAACCAACAGCGGATGCTTTACTTCTCTATGAACTAATCTTCTAAACTGTAGAGCTTAATTTGGTCGATTTATGTCTTGAAGCTCATGGGTTAAGCATGTAGATGCTCCATTCTTGAATGACCTTATGATGATCTGTCGACTGTGCTTTTAAACCGTTTACCCTTCAAATGCTTTTCTGCAGTGTTTTCACATCTCCTTTTCTTCTAGGTAAATATGGGTGACGTTGATAAGGGAAAGAAGGTTTTCGTCCAGAAGTGCGCCCAGTGCCACACGGTTGAAAACGGAGGCAAGCACAAAGTGGGGCCAAATCTTTGGGGTCTTTTTGGACGCAAGACTGGTCAGGCAGAGGGATATTCCTACACAGATGCCAATAAGAGCAAAGGTTAGGCTTACTGATTAAAAAGCAGTGTGTGTGCTTTTCACAATTAGATGTAATGACAATCTTTATCAAATTTTTCTTTTCACAGGCATTGTCTGGAGTGAAGAAGCCTTGATGGAATATTTGGAGAATCCCAAGAAGTACATTCCAGGCACAAAGATGATCTTTGCTGGGATCAAGAAGAAGGGCGAGAGGGCAGACCTTATTGCATACTTAAAGTCAGCCACATCATAATACAGCTAGAGAACGGGAAGACCGCAATATTTAAATTAAATGTTTGTAGTTTGGCTTTGAATGTCTTTAACAGTATCTATTCGAATGGTGTGACCGATCAAGTGGCCAGGATTATTCATTATAACATGTGGCATGCTTCTAATGCCAGTCCATTTTAGCAGTGAGGATTTCCACTTCTTTGTTTTTCCAAGTAATGTTAAAATGAGTCGAGTTACTGCGGATCTCCAGTGTTTCCACTGAGGGAATGAAAACTGCCCCCTGGTTTCACAGGAGCTATTGTACATTAAATTATTAAATTGTACTGAATTCTTAAAGTATTTAGATCACAATGAGTGACTGAACAAGCAGCATGCTTATTGGTAACTAATTGTATCAGATGGATTTGATCTGTCAAATAAAACGGTAAAAATAGTAAATTTTTGTCATGTCTGTTCTTTTAGATTTTTGTCATGTCTGTTCTTTTAGCTTTTCATGTTCTAATGCGCTTGCCTGCTGAGGTTTCTGTTTGTGCGCTTTAGTGATAGCTCACCATATCTTCAGTTTTAGCTTTTGAGTTTCAATCCTCAATGTACCAAGCAGACACTTAAGGAGTCAGACAACTCTGATGACACTGTGCTTGAGACCTTTAAACTCAGGATATAAAGCGTAAGGTATGCTGTTCTATCTCTTGAGAAATCTCAGGACAAGTTCTGACAATGTCCTGGTAAAAAGTTACAGCATACCTATCAAGGGTTTCATGATGGTTTGCCTAGAACTTTCCTAGAAAGTTTGCTTTTTCTTTTCATTTAATCATGATCATAGTTCAATATAAATGGTGTTTTGACTGATAGATAATGGGAGCATTGGTCCTCCCATGAATATTGAAGCTTTCATGTCAGGAAACTGACCATCTGTTGCACTGCTATAAAAGATAAATTATAACATTATTATTGAACAAAATTATATTGCAAATTGAATACCACTGAAGTGCTCTCAGATTCAATTATTAATTTTGACAATTGAGGAACAAAATGTTTTGTGTTCTCCATTTTCAGATTCATTACATCCAAATTATAGATATAGATCTTCTAGAACTGACAGCAAAGTACTATCATTTATGGATATAAGCATGGACACTTAATTTCATCTTTAGCCTGTACTGGTTGTGACCTGGGTACTAAGGTCATAAGGGTAGTTTAATGAGTATTTTACCTTAAATCTCCTCAGACAAAAGTTACCAGGAAAGACGTGCTATCTGTAAAGTTTGGAAGATCACACATAAATTAATTGCGTAGCCCAACTGTCTTTATCAGCCTCAGCTTTGATTGGACTTGAACATTATACTTAGGTAGGCTACGTGCAGTACACATCAAAGAACAAAGTCCAAACAGAGATCCGAGTCATATATATATATATATATATGCCGCCACCTACAGGACACCGAACGTTACGCAACGATATTTTGTAAAAAAAAATTAAAAATAAAAATTTTTTTTTAAATTGAACATAAAGGTTGCACAATCAACATGCACTATTGTTGAAACACGTAAGACATGGTGCCTAAAATTTGTCTATATTCTGTATTAATTATTCATGGTAGGTTAAATGTTGTTTGAATAAACGTTTGGTTAAAATATAATCCATGCGTTTACAATACACCAGTGAAATATATTAGCATTTTTGGTTTATTGTAGTAATTTCGGTGCTGCGACATTTAATATAAATATATGTAGGCTATGTTATATCCTGTTTATTTAAAGCTTTACGAATAGAATATCTTGTTGATTTATGCCTGACATAAATAGAGCAAGTACACTGCTCGTCTGTGTTTGTCATTGAGAGGAACCTCTGTCACATCATGTATGTCGAAGATGTAGCAGTGTGTTAGGGTTACAGTGTCTACAAACACAGTATCGTTTCACTTCTCTTGTTTGACATACAATTTATGAGCGGGCTGTGAACACAGGGATGGCCTTGTGAAGATGTAAGAGTAATAGATATATAAAGCAATTTAAAAAATATATATTTTGTGTTAATTACATCAACATTCTCAAGGTGAAAGTGTCTGATACAGGAACTGAGATAAGAAAGACATGCGCTGGGAGGGATCAGAGGACACAGAACTCCACTAGAGGGCAGCAGTCAGCTATAATTCATTTTTTCTTTTAATGAGTATTTTACCTTAAATCTCCTCAGACAAAAGTTACCAGGAAAGACGTGCTATCTGTAAAGTTTGGAAGATCACATATAAATTAATTGCGTAGCCCAACTGTCTTTATCAGCCTCAGCTTTGATTGGACTTGAACATTATACTTAGGTAGGCTACGTGCAGTACACATCAAAGAACAAAGTCCAAACAGAGATCCGAGTCTCTTCAGAAAGTGCACAGCTGGTCACATTGTCTAACCAACTACCTCATACGAAGCCTGCGGGTTGTGTGAAAGTTCCTAATATATAATATTTGGAAAATCACACAATTGTAACAAACGTGGTTTATATTTAGAAATATAAATCTACCCTGACTCCATAAAAATAGAGGTGGAAAATAGAAGAGTTACAGTTACAAAACTGTCTTTTACATGCACACTGGCTAATAAAGACGTTTATTATTCTTATTATTACTATTATTATTCTTATCTGTTAATTGAGAGACTACGTGAAACATTTGTACTTTTTAAAAATATATTTAAAGACAAAAATATGAATGAATATGAAAACAATATAAAAATAGTGAAAAATGTAAGAATTCAAAGGAAATTCATATAAGTTCAACCCACAATCTTTGAAATTACAAAATGATGTAAATGAAACTGTCTTTTACATGCACACTGGCTAATAAAGACGTTTATTATTCTTATTATTACTATTATTATTCTTATCTGTTAATTGAGAGACTACGTGAAACATTTGTACTTTTTAAAAATATATTTAAAGACAAAAATATGAATGAATATGAAAATAATATAAAAATAGTGAAAAATGTAAGAATTCAAAGGAAATTCATATAAATTCAACCCACAATCTTTGAAATTACAAAATGATGTAAATTGATGTTAATGGTTGTTGGTGAAGTTTGCAGCCAAATACGACATACTGCATTAAATGCAGCATATTTAACAACTGCAAACACTATTTTGCTTATGGGCTTCATGGATAACATTCATAACAGTCAGCAGATTAGTCTCTTTGATGCAATACATTAAAAAACTGTGAGAGGTTAGCCTCTTTAAATACATTGTGTGCCATGAATTCACCAAATGACATGATATTTGTGAGACTGACTGACTGGCTTCTGCAAAGTATAACGTTACGTAAACCTTTTTAGTTCCAGCAGCACTTAGCAATATTAACCATTTTGAGTTCCAACAGAATATTACAAGACAAGAAAACAAAATTGTATACTTTCACACTTGTGAAAATATGCTTGACAGGGTAAATAAGAAAAACAAAACACTTTGTTCAAAAGATAGAAGATTTAATAAGTTCCAAAATCTGCAAGCTGTTAACCATGGAGGTAATTTGAATTATGATGACATCATCATAAAATCATTATGATGACATCATTGAATTATGATGACGTCATCATTCATTGTTGACTGCATGTCTTCTTTGTATATTGTTCTTTATGCTGTTAATATTTTTTTATAATAACTAAATTACATATTTTTATAAATATGGAGGGATTCGGTTAAAAAGTCAATTTGATGTCAACATCTGAAATACTAACAAAATTATGTTAACAAAAAACATATTAATCCATGTTAAAGTATACACTTCAAACCCGTCATGAAACTCGTAAAAACCAAGCCTTTATTTTCTCTGGGATCAATAGAGATTTGATGGGTGGAGCTTCCAAAGCAAAGTTCTGTAATGCACTGACCACACACTCACACAGCCAGAGTGGACCACAGAACTTTCCCCAAGGAGCCATGTTCGAATGTGTGTGTTTCTCTGTATAAGTGTGTCCATATGTGCATGTTAACTTGTGTAGGTATGCAACTTTGGCAGACGAAGCCTATGCATGCATTTTCGTCTTTTTGAATTCTAGATTAGTCTTTAAAATCAAACATTTACTGCAATCATTTGGGCTTCAGTCAGTTCGCTTGCAGTTGCCTTGGTTGAGAAGGTTGCCCACTGAGGACCAATCAGCTCTAGGGGTTCCTGGGAAGTAAAACGCGTGTTAGAATTTATGTCCACTCTCTAGAATAAGCTGACGTGTCTCCATGCATTAACAACTTCAAACTGTTGTAACAATATTTAAGAGAATCCTAATTTGACACAGCCTGTAAAGGAGGTCTTATTTTATACAACCCACAAAGGTCTATTTTGGCAAGTTGAAACAAGAAAAAAATTAAAATAAAACATCCAAGAATATATGTGCAATATATGGAAACACACATATATTTTTCCTCCTAATGTGTAACATTTCAATTCACCAATTCAGTTTTCAGAAGCAATTTTTCTACAGTGTAGCCTACATACTGGCCTATATGTGAATTTGTGAACAGCTGAGCGTATTTAAAACAACAGTCATCCATATTTTAGATGCTCAGCTTTTGTATCCAAAACTTCTCAAATTCCTTTGTAAAATAGTTTAAGCTTGGCATCACTTTAAGAACTGCCTAAAACAGTATAATTTAGTGCGCACGCTTTTCTGAGTTTAATGCATCGCCTCTAAAAACATAAACTAGAGGCCAAAGCCACTAATGAGAGTTTAATTCTGGACTGTAAAGTGTCTGCTTACCTCACGGTTGACCGGCGGCTCTCCTGGCTGAGCCAGACTGAATGGCACGCTTTTCTGAGTTTATTGCATCACCTCCAAAAACATAAACTAGAGGCCAAATCCACTAATGAAAGTTTCATTCTGGACTGTGAAGTGTCTGCTTACCTCACGGCTGACCGGTGGCTCTCCTGGCTGAAGCAGACTGAATGCATTGCCTCTCTCTCTCTCTCTCTCTCTCTCTCTCTCTCTCTCTCCGTCGCTAAAGGAATGTCGACGTGGAGCTGCCAAACGTGAACGTGTAGGGTACTCATGAACGCGCTCGTCGGAGACTCTTCTCTGAGCTCGTACCCTTGGCATAGGTAACTTAGAGTGGGCATGGCGC